TTCTTCAGAGCCGCTTTTTTCGTGACTTCCAATGAGGAAGTTTAGAACAGCTGATTATAGTCGCATGTGGTTGACGACTCAACTGCCGAAACGTCAGCTAGCGTTGTATTGTATTGTGTTTTTATGGAAGTAAATGTATGCTGTTTAAAAACCTCGCGATTGCTGAACAAGAAAACGACACAGTTTTATATATTTCTTAAGCATAACGACCAAACTTTCGAAGTGAAGCATTGTTCTCATAGCAGTAAACAACCCTTAACACAGTGAAGAGTATATAAGTCGAATTCATTTGTTTTTTATCTACACTCTGTCACAGGTTATCCTATATTCCATGTTTTAATCCTTCTCCGTTATAACGAATCTAACTAAATACCCTTACAGATTAATATCAAAAAAAGAATAAAGTGTAACAAATTCGACTGAATCGTCACGACACCACTATTCCCCAACCCTCCACGCTAACACCTATTCCTTATTAGTACACCCTAAGAGACTTTGATAGAGTTAATGCACGGCCATATGGATATCAACTAAGAGATACAAGCATCGACTCACCCATAATCCACCAAGTCTCCATGCGAAGGGCAAAGAGAAACATCCAGCATTGAACATTGACTTCGACAACGTAAGCACTGCTCTCGTTGGCCTAAAAAACCTTCAGAAATATCAACAAATCAATATCGACAAGGAGCTATATCGAAGACCCTCCCCGTGCGCGTTGAGAGACATCTCCCACTTTAAAGCAGACCACAACTTTAAGGTTCTCTAACACACCTCCATAATCTCTCCTATCAAAAAACGATATCCAGGACAAAATTTCTACACCATAAGAGGTTTCGATTACACCTAGCCATGATCACTAGCATACGTGTCACAAAAACTTACGAAATAACGTCGCCGCTTCGCAACGTTGGGGACACAAGTGCTCGACCATCGTCCATACCTTCAGCTTCTGGAGTAACGACCACAGCATTGTTACTTCGTCGATCCACTTCAGACTGTCCCCCTACTTCCGCCATCACTCAAATCATTAACGTTCTCTACATAAATAAATCTGAATACAAGTATCAGGACCCAAACTCTCATTCTAAACCTTAACTTATACCATCGACATGTTTATTCATCATAACCATGCACAACTATCCATACACAATTATAGATCCCAGTAAATACCTCACCACCAATAGGCTTATTCATTGTGAGCGTAGACAACTGGTAAAGCTCTAAAAAGCTCTCGGCGTTGATCAATTCTTGAGGGATGCGTCTTGCATTCGACTTCATTAAGCATCGTTTGGAGGTAATTGAACGCATATCTCGCCTTCACAATAACTCGCGGTGGCCTACCGATGTATCGAGCCAATGCTGCTATCCTCCCAGACAAGTCTGGTACCCATTTACCAACCCCGGAGGGATAGAAAACTTGGTAAACCATGGGCGCGGGGATCGATTCCACGTGTGTCGTGGTGGCGCCTCCAACCACTTCGCCACACACGCCCTTGGTAGATAACTGGTATAAAAGCAATTACAAATATTAGATCCTTGACTCCGGATATAAACTTCACTTTATTCAAAATATACAAACCTTTATTTACTACAAGCGTTCAGATTTACAGTAATGCAATGTTGTTCATACATCATATTCAATGGATTCACTGTGATCTTTTGGCATAAGCAAGCTTTCCGGACACAAATGTTGCATGTACGTCCACATCCTTCGAGATCAACACAAAATCAGCATCCGCATTCAATGATATGACACCTTTGCGAGCTTGGATTCCCAACAGTGTTGCTATAAATAAAGGATGAAATTAAAAAGGACGAAGTTTTCGGCGTTGATCAACGCCTGAGAGATGCACTTTGCATTCGACTTCACTGAGCATCGTTGGAGATGATTGAATGCATATCTGGCCAATACAATGACTCGCGGTGGCCTACCGATGTATCGAGTCAGTACTGCTAACCTCCCAGACAAGTCTGGTACCAATTTGCCGACTCCGGAAGGATGGAAGGCTTGGTGAGCCTATGGAGAGGGGATCGATCCTATGCGTATTGCAGGGCGCTTCCGACCGCTGCGCCACACGCACCTTGTTGCTGTAAACACAGCACATATAATTGAACTTGGGGTTGAATAGTTTTGTACTGAAAAAATAATGAAACAAATCTCACTATAGTGAACCCAACCTGGTTTTTCAGTCGCACAAACCAGTGCTTCTTCCAAGGGACATCGAACCGCTTTTACTAGATGTGCTATGCAATGTGGCATTGAGGCTACGCTAAAATTGTTAATTTTCATTAAGAGAATATAGTCGTGGACTGCAATTGTTAACTGTACAGTTTAAGTAGCGACGTGTATTTAGGACCATGTGAAATCCAAACCTTCCAGCAACTGTATTTGTTCCTTCTAAAACAGCATTAAGATGAGTTACATTTATAATACAATCCCCCAATTTATGACGACCATCGCCCATTCCTAGTGCTGCTATTGCATCCGTAATTAGAATAAGTCCATCAGGATTAGTCCTGAAAGCCAAAAAATGAACTTGTTAAGATAGTACACGGAATAAGCAACTATTTCTCACGTCATGCTTCCATACTTAGTTCTAGGGCCAAAAGCACTTTGAAAGCTGCACTAAAGACTTACCTATGTGCTATCCTTAATGCGGAGTCGTGAGTATGGACACCGTCCGAAATGATACCGTAGTATATTGCACAGGCTTCCATAATTTTCGATGTTAATAGACCAATCAAGAATGGGTCACGATGATGATACTGAGTTAAAAAAGAACAGAAAATACAATGAAGTCATTATTTTCCAAGAAAGTCTGCTAAAGGAAAATGAGGTGACTGAGCAACATCCAGTGTTGGAAAAAGAACATACCCCTTGCATTGCATTGAAAAGATGGGTGATACATTTCGCTCCTAGGTTCACAGCACGTTCACCATCTTTCATTCCAGCAGATGAGTGGCCTAATGACACTATTATTCCTCTTTCACAGAAGTACCTGTAGGAAAGAAAACCAACTTGACTTCGTAAGATTAAATGCTAACATGATAGTAGTGAAGAGTCTTATCTTACAACCCCAACGATTCTGAGATATTTGCAAAACCTAGACTCCGGGCCAGATCGAACCACGATTTACACTTCCGGGCTCGTGCATTGCACACTGCACCACGGAGGCCCATGCCTCGCGTTTCTCTCAGCTAGTTTTCTGCCTAACGCTGCCATCAGCAATCAACCGTCAGCGGGGTTGATTTGGGGGCACAAATAGGCACTCAACCCAGTTTGGCTGAGAAAAACTATAGTGGACTGAAAACGAAAAGTTACCATTGTCATTTTGACTACAGCCCCAACCACACTGGCTTAACGCCAATTTATGCTCCCCAGATCAATACTGATGACGGGAGATTGCAGATGGCAGCGTTAGGCAGAAAACTAGCTGAGAGAAACGCGAGGCAAGGGCCTCCGTGGTGCAGTGTGCAATGCACGAGCCCCCGGAAAAGGAAATCGTGGTTCGATCTGGCCCGGGGCTCAAGCGAATATCTCAGCACCGCTGTAGCTGTATTTCACATCATACTTTGTCGTGAAAAATTATAATGAGCAGAAAATAAAAAGTTAAGTCTTATGTAACTTACACGGATAGTTCGATGGCTCATCTTCACTGGTTGTGAGGGCGCTAGCAAAATTTCCACTTTTTTGGAGTTTTGTTGGTTTAGTCATTGTGGTTTCCTGGAGTCCTGAGGTCAACCTGGTCAAACTCTGCTCCAGGTCGTCACCACCACAGGCGCTCGCCGCCCTTGCGGATCAACGGCAAATTTCCACCATGCGACTGGTTTGATACCTGGACGGTGGTGGATCTTGGCATTGGTTTACCCTTAGCTGGGTTTCTTGACGGAAAAAAACTCTTTACCAGCTCAGGAGACCATGCTGTGGAGATCAATTACCCGCTGTACTTCGCAGCCCGACACCCAGGAAGACCTCCCAGCCAAGATGAGACGGTAAACGATTAGGAGGGACAGTCTTACTTAACCTAACAAATGAAGTCATGATTTCGAAACAGCAGCCACAGCAAATGAGGACGGTTTCAAAAATCCAACACATTAAAGCCAAAAATTATGTTATATGGCGAACCAACTTGATAGCACTTCCACTGCCTTGCAGCTCTGGGGCTAACGTGACAATGGCGATATTCTTAGTGCTCCCGTAAACCTAGAGTAATATTAGTTGTATTCCATATAATACTTGAACAGTATAATTTTGTCACAGAAGAACTTAAGTGGAATGTTAACAAATATGTAGGTACCTCTTCAATTGATCTCACTGCATCATCTCCGAAATCCCTTACATGTTGCCTCGGATGGCATCCTCTCTTATCAAGAGAAATGAACGGCCCCTCGACATGTGCACCTAGAAAGCTATAGAAAAGTGATGGGAGCAGAAAAAACAACTGGAATAGAAAGTGATGAGGAGTCTTGGCTCAATTAGAATACGCTAAGAAAAATAAGATGAAAGAAACTTAATGATCAGTTAGGAAACTGAATCATAAAGAAACACAAGAACAGTTTTTTACAAGAGAAACATGCTGGTAAATATGGACATTATAGAAGAAACGCGGATTATACCACTAAGATTATTTTTAAGAACATCAAAATAACCGAACTGTTACAAACGAGGACTCAAACGAAGCTTGTTTTAGATAAATTAAGGAATGAAACAGGATTAAAAATCTGCCGAGCTTTTCCTCTTGAAATTAGAATCCTGTGAGGTTTTCTCTAAAGGTTAAAAATGGTCCTCCTGTAAGTGCATATGTAAAAGTATAACTGAATGTCCTTAAGCAAAACTAAACGTATGGAGTAAAAAGTAAGAGTAAAAAAGTACAAACTAAATGAAAATATGTAATATTTTCTCATAGGCTTGCATGGGGTTGATGAATAATCTTTATTTAAACTAAAAAAAAGATCTAAACTTTTCATCAAATGAAAACCTACCCAATAAACCCGTGCCTTCCGCACTACCATTTCGACGAGCCAGAAGTGGTAAAACCTGCAAAGACTCTAAGTGTCATAAGACATGGTTAATCATACTAATTATGCTTGCATAAAGAAAATATATACGGTGTGTATAAAAAAATGATTTTTATAACAGTGATGAAGAAGTTTAGTAGTCAAAGTATACCCAAAGAAGACATACGAAGACGAAGACGAAAGATAAAGACGAAACGTTAGCCGAATGGACATTATCAACCTCGTGTAAGCTTATCAGAGAAAGAATACATACTGATTAGTGATGTCGAGATTAAAAGAAAGTCGGTTTTGAAATACGAACAAGACATTTATCAAATATCCTGAAATGGAAAGGAAAGAATCGATTGCGACTACTGTTTTACACAAGAGAACCCCGTAGTGCAAATAGTAGCACGATCCATGTTTGCATGAAAAATCGAGGACTTCAAAGCTGTTCCAGAATCGTCTCGGCTGGATGGAAAGTGTGAACACTAACAATTTCATATATATGAACTATATAGTTTAATACTATGACATGGTCGAAAATGTTGGATGACTTGAATTTGAACGTGACTTTTCCCCTCTAGCTCTCTTAGAACTAACTCTACTCATTCATCAATATTTCCGAGAGATCATCGAAGCCCTGAAAGTCTCAGCGCTAAATCTTATGGACCCTTGTTGCGTTACGGAAAGGGACAGATAGATATTCCATCGAAAAGTAGTAGTGTTAAATAGAACGTACGATAGAAAGTTCTCGTTCGCTGCATTAAATAAACACATTTACGCCTAAATCACCCTAGTTATGAAGTTCCATAAAGAATTAAAAGTTGTACATAAATAACAAAAATAGCTAGAATAAACAGGGAAAACAAAGCCGAGCGAATGTCAACGGTCGAATGAATCACCATTATCAATAAAAACTGCACAGCATACGGGGATAAACATTCATAAGTCGAGGACAACAATGGCCTTTTGTGCAATGATGCCACTGGTCATGAATTGCAATCCATTCATGTGATTTCTGACTGAGATAAAATCATTCGATGAACACTGAATGATGTGTAGGTGTAGCTGTACACATATTACTCACATTGGTCAGCTTCACCTCGTAAGTCTTGGCCATCTTTAACTTCTGCCTAACCATATTCCAGAGGTTTAAATCACGTTTATATTCTATGTAAGCTACACGATAGTTATTTACTTGGATACTTGGACAGCTTGTCAACATTGGCTATGCAGGCTCTTGGACAATGTCCATTTGATTGGATCTTTGCTGGTTTAGCCACTGCGGTTCCCTGGAGTCCCGAGGTTAGCCTGGCCAAGGCCATCCTCAGGTCGTCACCACTACAGGTAGTCGCCACCCCTGATCAGATCGAAGGAAGATGTACCAGCATACTAGTTTTATGTCAGAACGGTGATGATGCCTAGTATTGATTACTTTACTCTCAGCTGGGCTTCTGGACGGAAACGCCGGACTCCTCAGCTTGGGAGACCCTTCTGGGGGATGAATCACACCTTTCCACATCGCAGCTCAACAGCAAGGAACACTTTCCAGCCATAATGAGGTGGTAAACCCTTGGGAGGATGTAAGTTAGAAGTCGCTGATTAAATAACAATTTTGCCTCACTACATTCCAGCGTGCTTCCATTTATAGCAAATTTATCAACTACCTTCCACTGTTACACTAACCTGAGGCCTGGCCTAAGAGGTTCCTGAGGTTCCCGCCACAAACACAAACTTGGCTCAACCTCGAGCTAGAGGAAAACCAAGCTCCACATTCTTGCAAGTTCGATTGGTTTCACACTTGTACAGGAGAATGGGAGCGCCTTCACGATATACCGGCAGGTTACTGTATTCTATCATCCAAATTCCAACCGCTAGAAGTGCTACGTGATCGCTGGTTCGATCACGTCTCCTTCTGGGTTTACCAAGAATTCCATTAGTTGAGGTGGGGAAGTTGGTAACAGATTTTCTGCCAGCAGCACTGACTTCGCACAGGATAAAAGTAGGTAACGTAATCGCAGTCATTCCAGTATGTCTCAGGTAGCCTAAATTACCTCTGTTCGCGGAAACAAACAAGAAGAACATCGCTCTTTCTGTACACGATCATTAACCTTCGACGATCTTAGTAAGAACGTTTGGATGAGAACTTTTCTGGACTCAGCCGTGAGAGGCTCATCATGCTTATAGATAAATCGCTGGGCAATCCTAATGGAAACGTGGAGCTTACTTGTTGTGGGATCACCACAAGTGCACTTCGCAGTCATATGTTCCCATGTGTATGCTTTGGTCTGAATTGTTAGGCAGAATGCAAAGTGGGAGCACACTAACACATGCATACATGAAAATAGTATTAGCCAATCCCTTGCAGCGATGACAGGTAGTTTACCACCTCTTGGAAACGTTGATGACAAAGGCAGTCGTAAAAACGAAAAATCTATATTGAAATTACTGCTTGCTACTGGATAGCGATCCATTAAGCTTCCAGATTATTCCGCAGATGCCAAAGAAGCAGTTGAACAAGCGCAAATACCTAAGCAGATAGGCGAAGCAAGTGCCAAAGTGGGGCAATGAGTAACACGTGGGTCCCGGAAAGGGTAATCGCGGATTCGTATCTGGCATAGGGCCCAAGTTTTGCAAATATCTTAGCATCATATTGATTGTATTTCACAACACCCTGTCGAAAAAAAAATTACAATTGGTAGTAAATAGAAAGTAAATATGAATGTGTCGTTTTCTTGTTCAGCAATCGCGAGGTTTTTAAACAGCATACATTTACTTCCATAAAAACACAATACAATACAACGCTAGCTGACGTTTCGGCAGT